AAGGATCATGTATGATCCTTAAAAAACAGGGCCTGGCATGGTTAGAAGGTGAGACAAAATTTACAAACACATCGACAGTAGAAAAGGAAGATTGCATCCAAGCAAACGCTTCAGCCTGCTACAAAGTGCTTAATTCCTCTTTTACTGAGAGGGCGGTGTGGTTTAATGGAACCTTCCTGGTCCCTGGAAATGTTTCACGAACACCACTACCGCCACCCCAGCCGCGGTTTGCCCCGCATTGCTGGGGCTCCTATGAGAATGAGGTCTGGCCATGGTCTGATTGTCAGTCAGCTATAGTCACCTGGGCAGACAGCAACAAAAGGTTCACTTTCTCACCTGACATGCGTGGTCCACCTGACACAAGTAATCCGTGGACTCAGGGTTTTTTCCTCCAAGATAGACGAATGAAGCCCTATGACAAATGGATGCTCTGTGGAATTAATGGTAGTTGTACTGACCTGACTACCTTTTCCCTCCTACAAGGAGGAGTGGCAGGTCTCAGTACTTTCTCAGGAGCATTTTCCCTGGTAAAGACCATGAAGGAGCCACCCACCAAGAATTGGGGTGCTTCTTGGAATGTGGGAAATTTGACTGGTGGTATCACCGAGGCAAAAGAACATTTTAGTTATACCACTTATTTGCCTGCCCCGGTGCGTGTTTATCCCCCATTTTTATTTGTGTTAAGCAATTTTTCTTTCAAAGTGTGCTCCAATAATACATGCTTTTTGTCTCAATGTTGGGATGCGGAACGCTTCACCAAAGCCTTGGTAGCCAGGGTCCCACGTTGGGTCCCCGTGCCAGTAGAGGCTCCTAGCACCATGACACTGTTCTGACTCAAAAGAGATTTTGGCATTACTGCAGCGGTTATAGTTGCCATCTCTGCTGCTGCCACAGCAGCCACTGTTGCTGGCATAGCTATGTCCACCACAGTCCAGACAGCTGCCACTCTAAATAATCTGTCTGCAAAGGTGGCTCAGGCTTTGGATTCGCAAACTGCTCTGGACTCACATATAAAAGGAGGATTGATGGTTGTCAATCAAAGAATCGATCTTGTCCAAGAACAACTGGATATGCTTTGGCAACTGGCTCAGTTGGGCTGTGAATGGAAGTTTAGTGCGCTGTGCATTACCAGTGTGCCGTATGAAAATTATACTAGAGCTGCCAATCTGTCTCGCTCCTTGTCTTTACATCTTGCAGGGAACTGGTCCGAGGAGTTTGATGTTCTCCTTGGAGGCCTCCGGCGCGCTGTGATTGCAATCAATTCCACACGAGTGGACCTTAGCCTGGCCAAGGGAATGACATCTTGGATCACCTCCGCTGTTTCCCTGTTTAAGG